AAATACACATTTTTCTCAAGTACTCATGGAAAATTCTCCCAGATAGACCATATGCTAACCATAAAACAAGCTTAAATAAAATTAAAAGGATTGAAATCATAAAAAGCATTTGTTGTGGTTTCAATATTAGGTGTCCCCCAAAAGCTCACATGTGAGACAATGCAAGAAAGTTCAGAGGTAAAATGATTGGGTTATGAGAGCCTTAACCTAATCAGTGCATAAATCCACTCATAGGGAATAATTGGGTGGTACTAGCAGGCAGAGAGGGTATGGATGGAGGAGGTGGGTTATTGGTGTTGTGCCTTTGGGCAGTGGTGAGAAGAGTCTCTCTCTCTCTCTCTCTCTCTCTCTCTCTCTCTCTCTCTCTCTCTCTCTCTCTCTTTCTGCTTCCTGGTACTATGTCCTGAGCTGCTTTCCTTGGCACGCTCTTAGGTCACGATGTCCTGCCTTACCTATGGCCCAGAGCAATAAAGTCAGCCATCTAAGGACTTAGATCTCTGAAACTGCTTTGACCCCCCCATATATACTTTTCCTCCTCTAAAATTGTTCTTGTCAGGTCTTTTGGTCATAGCAACAAAAAAGCTAACTAAAACAGCATGTCCTTTGACCACAATGGAATGAAATTATACATCAATAATGGAAGGAAATTTGGGATATCCACAAACATGTGGGCATTAAACAACACACTTCTAAAAAGAAGAAATCAAGAGAAAAATAGAAATGTCATAAGATAAAAATGAAAATACAACATACCAAAACTGATGTGGTTCAGTTAAAGAAGTGTTTGGAGTATTTTTTTTTTTTGATGGCTGTAAGCAAAACCAATCTCAAATCAGTAACTTAAGCTTACACCTAAATAAGCTGAGTAAGCCAAAAGCAATAAAAAGGAAAAAAAAATAATAAAGATTACAGCAGAAATTAATGAAAAAGAACAGAAAACAATAGAGAAATTTTAGCACAAAATGACGGAGCCGGGTGCAAACTTCACTGATCAGCAAAGCCTTTGTTCAGCAGAGAAGTCATGCATCTGGTGGGCACATTTTCTGGGTAGAAACTGAGCCACTGGCCAAAGGAGGAATCTGTGCTTATACATGCTCCACTGAGAGGTGACTTAATTATTGACAAAGCATGTCAGTTTGGGCACTCAGGAAACAGGTTGTGAGAATGTGAAATTCGTTTTTACTGGGCAATGTTTTTACTTGGGGAAGAATGGTGGGTCTGGGGGTCAGCATTCAGTGTTTCTCTCTTTCCCTTCATGGTCCCGTTATACTGTCACTGGAAAAGGATTTATTTGGGGAATGATCGATGCTTTGGCTTCCCCCCAAAGACTGCCATTTTCAGCTTGATGGATATCCTTCTCAGGGATTGTCTTCAAAACTGAGAAGGATGTATTGGGGAATGATCAATTTTATCAATGTTTGGCCTTATTCCTTACTCCCTCTTCCAAGGCCGCACTATTTGGGGGTTTGCTGTTTTCCATATCTTAGAGAAATCAACAAAATCAAAACTTGTTACTTTGAAATGATCAATAAAATTAACAAATTTTAACTCAACTGACCAAGGAGGAAAGTGTGTGTGTGTGTGTGTGTGTGTATGTGAAAGAGGGCTTAAATTTAAATACCAATCTGACAAAAATAAAAGAATTATTAAGGGAATACTATCAACAACCCTATTTTGTAAATAAATTAGATGAAATGAACAAATTCCTAGAAAGACATAACTATCAAAACTTATCCAAGAAAAAAATTGAAAATACAAATAAACCTATAACAAGTAAAATAGTTGAACTAGTCACTTAAAATCTTCTTTTAATGAAAAAAGTTAGGCCTGGATGTCTTCATTGGTATATTTTGTCAAACATCTAAAGAAGAATTAACACTAATTCCTCAAAAACTATTATAAGTAACATAAGAAGAGGGAATACTTCCCACCAGTTCTATAAGGACAGTATTAAACTGATAATCAAAATCAAATACATAAGAAAACAACTCAACCAATCTCTTCAGTACAGATGCAAAATCCTTAAACAAAATATTAGAAAACTGAATCCAGTAACATGTACCAAGGCCCTTAGTAACAAAGCTTGTGGGGTGTAAAATGGTAGATTGGAACACAATTTGACATTCCCTCAGGATTTAAACATAGTTACCATGTGACTCAGCAACTCTACCCTTAGATACATACCCAACAGAATTAAAAATTATGTCCACACAAAACTAGTATATGAATGTTTATGGTAGCATTAACACATCCTTTTGGTTGAGAATATTATTTAACTATATAAAAGAATGAAGTACTGATGTATGATACAACATGGAGGAATCTCAGAAATATTAAACAAAGTGAAAGAAGTCAGACACCAAACGTGGCATACACATGTAATCCCAGTGACTTAGGAGGCTGAGGCAGGAGGATCACAAATTCAAAGCCAGCTTCAGCAACTTAGTGAGGCTCTAAGCAACTTAGTGAGACCCTGTCTCTAAATAAAATGTGAAAAAGGGCCAGGGATATGGCTCAGTTGTTAAGTGCCAATTGGTTCAATCCCTTGTACCACCACCAAAAAAAAAAAGCTACATATTATATGATTCCATTTATATGAAATGTCTAGAACAGGAAAATCCATAGCAATACAAGCTATTGGTGTTCACTAGAGCTGAGGAGAATGGCCAGTAACTACTAATGGATATATACTTTCTTTTTGGGGTGATGCACATATTTTGGATTTAGACAGTGGTGATGGTTGTATAACTTTGTGAATATACTAAAAACTATTGAGTTATATATTTTAAATGGGTGACTTGTACGGTATGTGGACTATATCTCAATAAAGCTATTTAAAATTTTTAATGCCATGCTTTCCCTGGTAATCACAGCAGAAAGCTCTTGTGTCTTTCTCCCCCACCCTCTTTTTTTACAGGTACTATGTTGCCCAGACTGGTTTCCAACTCTTGGGCTCAAGTGATCCCCCAACCTCAACCTCCCAAGTAGCTGGGACTACAGGCATGCACCACCACACTCTGCTCTTAATAGTTTTCATCTTTAAAAAAAGAGTACTTATTTATTGATGTGAATTATAAATATTTACAGATTCTTCTAGAGAATAAAGTAAATAGAAAACCTCCTTTGGTAATGATGGTTGCCCTCAATGTATGCTATGAGGAAAATGAAGGGTTTTTCAAAAGTGCTAAGGAATAAGGATGAAAAAAAATGTTTCCTATACCTTAACTTTCATTTCTTTATTAAATTTTATTCTTTACATGACTTAAGGCGTTTCCCCCACCCATAGTAAGCCATCATGTAATCTCAGATTTGGCCCATATCAAATTCTCCAGTAATCCAATTTCTATATTTAACATGCTGATTCAGGTACCCAATTGTCAGAAAACTTGATAGTAAGTTATTCAACAAGATTTTTTTTTTTTTTTCAAAATGGTACTAGAGATTGAACCCAGGGCCTCATGCTGCATGCTCCACCACTGAGCTACATCCTCAGCTCTGGAAATTTTCGTTAAAACATATGATGCAAGCTCATAGCAGTGGGAGAATATCATAAGAAGCTAAGCGTTACACATAACTCTGATGAGTCAACCCCCTAAGCCTAATTTACTGTCGTAAAGAAAGCTATTTCTTTGAATATTACAAATCTTTTTTTTTTTTTTTTAATTAGGGATTGAAACCAGGGCCACTTTAACCACTGAGCTACATCCCCAACTCTTTTTTATTTTTATTTTGAGATAGGGTCTCATTAAGGTGCTGAGGCTGTCTTTGAACTTGCTACCCTCCTGTTGTCAGTGTGGGCCATCGCGCTAGGCTGATTATTCCAACTCTTGGCACGTTTTGGTTCCAGAACAGTCGCAGGGCCTGGATTCATGCCACCAGTAACTGTAGTATTTTTTTGTGATAGAGCCAAGACTCGAGGAAAGTGAGAGAGTAAGTTACAGGGACAGATTCTTTCTAATCCTTGGTTAAAACCAGGCGTTGTGGCCCTCAGCAACTCCGTGGGCTGAGGCAGGAGGATTTCAAGTTTTAGGTCAGCCTGAGCAACTTAATGAGATCCTGTCTCAAAATAAAAAAGGACTGGATATGTAGTTCAGTGGTAGTGTGCCCTTGGATTCAATCTCCAGTAAAAAACAAACAAAAACACCTCTAGTCCTTGGTCAGCCAGTGTCAATGCAACAAATGCTGGTTGGTAAAGTATTTATTGTGCACTTATTCCATCCAATGACAGTGCACAGGGGTCCTGCTACTAAGGGCCGTGAGGGAAGAAAAGTTTGTCTTCCCTCATATCTTCTGATTGAGTTTCTCCCTTTATTACATTCATTAGTACATTTGTTACATATAATATTAAATTCTTTCCATAAAAGAAGCTTTGCTGAGCAGGTAACCAAATGTTACCCAAAAGAGGCATTGTCATTTAGATTATTTAAGAATTGTTAGAGAGAATTCATCAGAGAACAAAGTCTGGATCGTGACGAATCCCAGTGATTTCCAGCGCCTTCAGACACCCAAGCTGTATTTAGTCTCCACGCCCACAGCGCCCGGGGGAGCTAGAGAGTCTGACCGTCAGCCCGAAGGCGCGGCACACCACACAGAAGGAACAAGTCCCAGAATCCCACCCGGACTCCAAGTCCCAGAAACCCGCAGGACAAACCTATCCCAGGTGCCAAGAAGGCTGAGTGTGGACGCGACCAAGTTGGGAACTGGGGTGAGATGCTGTAGTATTTGACCACGACCATGTTTCCTGCAGGGGAGAGGATTCTTACAGACAGATACTCATAAATGATCTACCATGGCTCCCACGGAAAGCGCGATTCTTGGAGGTTTGGGGCTATAACTAGCGGCTCCTTAGCTCTCTTCTTTTTTTCTGCCTCCTCGAGGATGGTTCGGCCCGGCACGAAGGCTCCTTGAACTGGTCGGATGGTTGCGTCCGCCCTCCCCCGGAATGTGGGCCCTGGGAGCCCGCGAGGTGGGAGGGGCGACAGCGGCCAGGAGGCGTGCTGGACCCGGGTGGCGGTGGAGGCGGCTGCGGCCGCGGGCGGTGGGAGGAGCCGCGAGGTTCCGGCAGCCCGGGCTAGGCGACCCTTGGGTCGGCGCCGTGGGCGAGGTACGCAGGTAGGCAGGGGAGCGGCCGCCGCTCAGGGATCGGCTCGGGCGACGGAGTGCAGAGCGGCGCCTGGCGCGCCCCCCGCACCCTCGGCCGCCGGCGTCCAGGCGGGGCAGTGAGGAGATGCCGACCCAGAGGGACAGCAGCACCATGTCCCATACGGTCGGGGGCGGCGGCAGCGGGGACCATTCTCATCAGGTCCGAGTGAAAGCCTACTACCGCGGGTGAGTGTCTCGGAGCAGGGGTGTGGGTGCGAGCAAGGGGAGAGGCCAGCTAGGCTTGGCCTGGAGGAGGGAAGGGTGAGGGGCTGGAGGTGTCGTGGGCGGGTTGGGCCGGGCTGGCTGCTCGGGGGGGAGGGGGTTGGTGACGAAGTGAACTGGGGAGGAGCAACCCAGCACTGATTGTAGGTACCCCAGGTGTGGTGCCGGGCCGGGGGAGTCGGGGACTTGAGCGGCAGCGTAGAGTCGGAGAAAGAAGCCTTGGTACAGAGTGTGTGCACCTGATGGGGACGAGTCGCTCCCCTGCCGAGAGATCTGCGGGGGCTGTACGTCATTGGTTTAGGTGTATTTGGGGTTAAGAGTTGAAGATTCCTAGTCTTGTCTCAGGTAACCTCGGTTTGCAAGGCAGGACTATTTCAGTTGCTGGCCCTTGTGGCTCCCGGCAGGCCTAAAGCCTCTGGTTTTCTAAGTCAGGGTTATCTTTGCCGAGCAAAAGTTCATGGAGTACATCTGGACTACAGTCAGACCAGTATGTTAGATGTAGGAGTCATACCTAGGAGTAAAGTTGGTGGCGTTTTCAAGGATGTGTATTAGGTGTTGTGTCGTCGAGAGTGATAGGCAAATGTGTAATTAAAATTTTGCGAACCGTTCTGTATTAGTATTGTTTCAAGGACCATCTGATAAGGTGAGAAAAGGAAGAGTCACAGCTTTAAATTCTGCGGTCTTTCCTCATATTATTACTTAAGCTGTAAGTACTTTGGTTACCAGAAATAATTCAGTCCTGAGATCATCGTGTTAAATCACATTCTATCATCAGTGACGCACAGTACTCCCCTTCGTTTGAATTTAGCTGTGGTTTGAAATTTTTTGGAGGTAATTAGGAGTATTAGTAAGGTGAAAGGATAGTGTAAGCACAAAGTTTGACACTAAGGATTAACAGAAAACCCGACAGCTTTGGCCCAACTTACTGCTTGTCTAGGCAGAAATAAATTGCTTAAAAAAAAAAAAAAAGAAAGAAAACACTCAAGGACTGCAAGATTGAAACTGCAGTGCATACTTTTACATTCCTGAGAGGATCAGTGAAGATAACAAACTTTTGAAATGCCTCTCGTTTTGATTTCAAAGAAAATATAATCCCCATTTGTCTTATTTATTAGATGTAAGGATTTACTAGTTTGAAATCAAGAAGCCCCTGTCTTCTGTAAAGGTTGACTGCATTCAGTAGTTTATAGGAGTTATATTGGACAGTATTATAACTGTTTTTACTTAAAACACAGGTAAAAGAGGTTTTGATTTTTAAAAACAATACCAATAAATGTTTTTTGTTGTTGTTTCTTTTTCTTTTCTTTTTTTTTTTTTAATGTTTGTAGCTGTGTTGCCCAGTTTGGTTCATGGTTGCCCACCAATTTAGTAAGATGAGGAAAAAAACTTCCTTTTTAAAAAATTAATCTAATCCATAATTTGATAGATGAGACATTTCATTTTGGAGTATGTTCCATTTTTATAAAGTTGACAAACAGTCCATGAGTCATTAGAGGCAGAAATATAGTTTTTTTTTTTTTTTAAAAGGTGTATGATTATTGATAGTTCAACAAACAATCTAGATTGAGAATAAATACATGCACATGCAGGAAAGTACAAATTGTGCAGAGATGTAAAATAAAAAGTGTCCCTGTTTCTCCCCTCTATTTCCACAGGTTACCACTGCTGGCAATTTATTTCTAGTTTTTCTGAAGGTTGAATTTATTACTTTCAAAGTTGTATTTTCATTTCTTGATGTATCAATTTCAGATTGTATTTGATTTCTTTTCATTAGAAAGATGAGAAATTAAGTGCACAGTACCTTTGTCTCCTGTCCTAGTGCCTTTCATGTTTTGGCTGTTAAGATATTTAGTTCTCTGTGTTACCTTCATGGTTTTAAATAATCTAAAATCTTGACTAAAATTTTGATGGCATCCAGTGACTCTGAAAGATAAATTAATGCTTCTTCATTTTTCCTACTTTTACTTAATAAGTGTAAATAAACATAAGTTAAAAATATTGTAAATGTCTCCTTGTCTCCATCCTCCCTTTTTATTTTGGTGGTTTGAGGATTGAACCCATAGCCTCCTACATGCCAGCCAAGTGCTCTACTAGTGAGCTACATTCACTGCACAGGTTCTCTTTTGGAAAGAAATCAGTCTGTTGTGCTCAGATATAGACATTCTATAGATATTTTCTTCACTTACTGATCCAATTACAAAAAAGAAGACACTAAGGACATACAACTTTTTAGTTGTTTTAACTAAAATTTGTCTAAGACATTCAAGTTAATTTGTTTTTGTTTTTGATGGTACAAGGAATTGAATCCAGGGCCTCCTACCACTGAGGTACATCCCCAGTCCTAATGTTATCTTTTAAAACTTAGAAAATTTGCTAAGGAAAGACACAATAACCTCTTGCCCTTTTGTGCCTTTTGTTCTATAAAAGCTTTCTAATATTACCTTTATTTCAAGACAGCAGCACTCTCTAAACTGTACAAATTTCTGTCCTCTGATATTAGATCTTTTAATATTATGTTTATTCACAATAGTCTAAACTGATGATTATACTAGTATATAGTCAGCTGTTCATTAATATATATGAAACTAAAATGAGTCACCAATGAAGGGTAGTTAATAAACAGATTGGCTAACTGGAATACCTACCTGTTATTAAAATAGAACATCCCTTCTTTATACTCAAAAATATAAGGACAATTGCATTTAAAAAGGTTTTCTTTTCCATTAGATCTCTTGAGCAGGCATTATCACTTAACTTTTCCCGTACTCCCTTATAACAGTATTTCTTTACAATGAATGTTGAATCTTGAGATAACCAGATTTCTTAAATGAATAAATTGCCTTCTCCCTTCAGCGATATGTATGCTATTCTTATTCTGCTGAATTTGATCCTTGTGAAAGTGTGATATAATCAACATTTAATTTGATTTTTCTCCCCTGGTTTTCAAGCAGGTGATTAATAGCACTGAGAATCTGATTTTATGGAGACCAACCTAAGGGTTGATGTCTCATGGCCAGCACCCTTCTTTTTCTAACATGAGAGCTTTTCAGTGAGTGGCCTTCTTCAATCATTACCTGGTGGTATTAGTTCAGAGGAAGAGAAACAGGTTTTGTTGGTTAGTGATAGATTGCTATTGTATGTGCATATCCTTATATAAAGTTATTTGATATTATGGGGTGGAATTTAACCACATAATGTCTGGATTACTCATATCCATATGGCATTATATGTTATGAGAAATTTTGCAAATAACTTTTAAAAATGCTTTTTTAAACTGCTGTTGTTGAACAGTGATAACAAACCATAGGATACCTTCTGTGCACATCTAGAAACAAAAAGGATCGTTAACTCCTTTTTTTTTTTTTTCCCCTCTTTTGGTGGTACTGGAGATCAAACCTAGGACCTGACTCGTGCTAAGTAGGTGCTCTGTCACCAACCTGCATCCCCAGTTAAGATTGTTAACTCTGCATATTTGGACTTTATAGCTGGTTTGGTGAAGGAGCGTGTAGGATTTTTCTCACTGTAAACAAGTCTTGTCAAGACTTGTTTCGAAAAGTGTTGCAAAATTATTTTAAGAATATAGTTTAGTAATGGTTCTGAGAAAATAAAAACAGTGTCTTGAGTTAAGCATTGGGGGAATGGTAGCAGGCTGATCCTAGAGTTTTTGGCATAGCACTCAGCCATAGGGCAGCTGATCCATAGTTTGGCCAGAGAGAAAAAAATAGGACAAGGCGGCCTACTGCCAAATGAAAAAAAAAAAAAGAGAGAGAGAGACAGCAAAAGAGAAAAGAAAAAGAAACCCTCTCAGAAATTTGAATGGAATAATATGGAGATAAACTCTTATCAAGCGCTGGGGACTAAAGCTGAAGAGTTGGAGAACAAGGCAGGTGAGGCCAGAACTGACTGTATGTAAACTAAAGGTCTAAAGATACAAGAGCTGACAAGGAAGAAGCATTCTGTACAGAAAATTCTCCTAGAGGTCCTTAGTTTGTGATAGCTTTCTCATAGAACTCCTAGGCCTACCCCACCAATTTTTTTTTGAGGGGGGGGTATAGGGGATTGAAGCAGGAGTACTTAATCACTGAGCCATATCCCCAGCCTGAGACAGGGGGTCTCACTAAGTTGCTTAGGGCTTCACTGAGTTCCTGAGGCTGGCTTTGAATTTGCAATCCTCCTGCCTCATCTTTCCAAGCTTCCAAGATTACAGGCATATGCCATCTCACCTGGCCTAGGCCCAGGCCCCATTTCAAAGGTAACTTGAGTGACTGGTTTTTGTAAAAAATATTATTATTTTAATATTTATTTTTCTTTTTAGTTGTAGTTGGACACAATATCTTTGTTTTTATTTATTTATTTTTATGTGGTGCTGAGGATTGAACCTAGGGCCTTGCACGCTAGGCGAGCTCTCTACCACTAAGCCACAACCCCAGCCCCAAGTGACTGTTTTTTTAATGGCTGAAATGAACCTAGTTAAAACATGAATTTTAAAAATTCCAATCTTGCTTAGAATTTGGAGATCATTTGAACTGGGTTTAGTAAATACTGTTGAGCACCTGCTATAATCTGAACCCATGGGCTCTCCTGGACACAGGATGTAGAGATAGATGATACAAGCTTCTGCCTTTGAAGATCTAAGAGACTTGTGAAGAGAAAGATAAATATATATTTATGTTTATGTACATATATATATATATCTCATTTATATCTTACATGTATATTATAACTACATAGAGTTATAAAGGATTAAATTTGATGGGGAGGACTTGCAAGGTGCATATTGGGGAGGAGTTTGGGTGAAGGGAGCCTCTTATAGGAAGAAATGTCCACAGCTTTTAAAGGATAAATAGGGAGGGGGTTGGCACAGTGGTAAAACACATGCTTCACAAGCATGAGGCTCTAGGTTCAATCCCCAGGATCTCTCCATTTTCCATAAAAAAGGATAAATAAAAATTTGCCTGGTGAAT